ACCGTCATCTTTACTTCATAATAGACGACCCTTTTTAAAAACCGTCATCTTTACTTCATAATAGACGACCCTTTTAAAAAAAAAACCATCATCTTTACTTCATAATAGACGACCCTTTAAAAAAAAAACCGTCATCTTTACATATAATAGACGACAGTTCTTTCAAAACAACCATGTCTTTACCAAAAAAAAGGACACTTGATTTTTAAAAGACGACGCTTGTCATACATGCTGTCGTTGTTTTTTAGTCAGATTTTAACTCTGAAGAAAACCTTTTTAATAAGACGACGCTTTTTTATTTGTGTGTGTCGTTATAAAAAAAATATTCAACAGTACCTCCGTTTTTTAGTTGTTTAAGTCACTTATCCACGACGGTTTTTTGTTACCGTCGTCTTTTTAAATACAACGACGGTTTTTTCTTCTACCGTCGTCTTTTTCTGGTCGTCTTTTTCACTTTTTGTAGTAGTGAAAGTGAGAGAGAGAATGTCAGTGAGTGAACAGATAGTAAAACTGATCAAATAAATAAATTAATAAAAACATTAATCGACGTGGTAAAGAGGATATAATGATGGTTTATTTTAAAAACAGACACATAAAATAATTTCATACATCGTCCCAAAACTACCGTCGTTTTGTATACATTAAAACGTCGGTCCATGAAATAACCGTCGTTTATTTGATAAAAACACTTAACCAAAATATTCACTGATCCAGAAATAGTGTACAAACCAATTGTAGAGAAATAGAGAGGGACAGAGAGTGTGTGTGTGTGTGTGTGAATATGAAGAAAGTTCAAAATTTAATTTAAAAAACCTTATACAGAAACACAAAACCGTCGTTGTAATTCAATGCAGACCTCGGTTTTATAAAAATATTGACGTTATATATTTTTTAAAAGGCGGTGTTTAAAAACCGACGTCTGCATTGAATTACAACGACGGTTGATAAAAAGACTGACGTCTGAATGAAAAATAAAACCCTCTGTTCTACAAGTTTAGAACAGAGTCAATGAAACTTATGATTAATTTTGCTTTCTTTGCAACCTTTGGATCATGGATGTTTCCTTGTTTATCTTCTCTTGCCTTCTTCCGTAGCAGAGATCGATTGATTTCTTCACCGGGCATGGTTTCTTCCAATTGATCCTCCAAACCAACGTACTATTTTCGAGACAACCTATGGTTGTACTCGCATTTCTCCCTTCTCTGTGACTACTCAGAATGCACAGCCTTAAAATCTAGGGATAACCTTGAAGCTACAAAAGCATCCCATTGCGATTTCTCTATGAAGTTATAAAGCTGAGGGGGCTCTTTTAACTTCTCCTTCTCATTTGCGAATGGAAGAATAAACTGCCTACTTAAGGTAGACTTAAAATTCTTCCATTTTTGGGTGGTAGACGATAGTACCATCTTCTTGCCCCCTTCCCCAACAACATAAGCCATTTGAACAGCTTTCCAAATCTGCTCCTTCGGGTCCTTAGGCAATTGAGTCCATTTCTTGTCCACAAGAGGGACTCTAGTACGTGCCAAAATACCAATGTAACTCTGCATCTCAATAGCAGCCTTGCCATGTGGTCTGCCACTTTTATTGTACTTAACCACAGGCTTAATCTTATGAATTTTCCTTTTCACAACACGGCTCATTGTGTTGATACCGTGAGTAGATTTCATCACTTCATCAAATGTCGCAGAGCTTAGGTCTTTCTCGAAAGATGAAGTAAATCTCATCTTCTTTGGGGGATTGCTTGGAAGAGATTATGCCGTTGAAACTACAATCTCCTTGCCTTGACCTCTTGATGCCTGAGAATCCTTACTTTGAGATTTCGAAACCATGCTTACAGAGAAGAGAAGAGAAATAAAAACTGCAAGAAAAACAATGACGATTAGGTAAAATACAGATGCAAAATGAAAGTTCAGACGACGGACAAAAAACAGAACCGTCGTGCTAATCAACAAAAATGTGGATGTGTTAATACGACGTAGTAATTAACTTAACACGACCGTCAGTGAATAAGACCGTCATAAATTCATAAAATAACCACCCAGTTTTCTCTCTCCCACGTTCTTCCAACAAATCAGACGACAGTTTAAATAAAACCCGTCGTCCTCACATGACTTGTGAGTGCGAACATTGAAAGATTTTGCAGTTTCAAACATCAGTGAGACTAGTTCTTTAAATGAAGAAAAAAAGGGAGTGAAAAAATTCTCAAACCTTTGGGTTGCAAATAAAGTTTCCTTCGGAATCAAATTTTGAAGACGAAGACGAGGAAGAACGTAGAAGTTGAGAGGGAAACTGAGAATCAGAAACGCAGCTTTTCAGAAATGAGAGGGAAATTGAGAGAAAACTGAAAATTTTAGAGAGAACGTAAAAGTTTAGGTCAGGTGACCAAAAAATTTATATAGTGTACCAAAGATAAATACAACGACGGGGGTCATAAAAACCGCCCTAGTAAGTAGTTACCACGACATTAAAATAATATGAACCGACATAGTTAGTAAAATGCCTTTTGACTTTTTGTATTCCGAAAACGACGTGGTTAATTGGGCGCTACACGCCAAAAGTTTACTTTTAAATAAGTAATATTATAAATTACCATGTCGTTTTTGTATATTAAACCGGCGTGGGTTTCCAAAACCTCGCTGCATTGAGTTTAATAACCGACGTTGTTTGTATGTTTAATACGTCCTCCTATTTTTAAGAATCGACGTGGATTCAGTTGTTAAACATCGTTTGTTTTAATGTAACCGACGTGTATATAATTTTTTTTATTTTTTATAAATTGAGTGTTTTTCCATGATTTCTTTCAGTTTCAGTTTTCAATTAGGGTTCCAACTTCTTCTTGCCCTCTGTCTCACCTCTTAGGAGGCAATTGTTTGGATGTTGGTGTGTGTGCATGTTTGTGTATCTGATTCATAAGCATGCACACATCACCAATGTTCAAAAATTTGTCTCTCTGAATGCAGATCTGTGGCTGCCGTCGTCAAATTTTAGAGGCAAATTTTTGGATGTTGATGTGTGTGTATTTGTGTCTCAATTGAGACACAAATACACATACATCATCAATCTCTAAAATATTGTCTCTCTGAATGCAAATCTGTGGTTGCCGTCGTTAAATTTTAGAGGCAATTGCTTGGATGTAGATGTGTGTGTGCGTTTGTGTATCTGAAAGACACGAACACACACACATCATCAAATTCCAAAAAATTGCCTTTCTAAATGCAAATATGTGTCTTTCTGTGGTCCGATTATGATGAGGAACAGAGTTCCATCTGGTAAGATTTCGTAACTCTTGGGATTCAGATCTGATTATGTACTGTTTTCTGTATAAACCGTCGTGGTTATTCTTAATTCTTGACATTAAGTTGATTTACAGACGTAGGATAACAAAATTCAAGAAATAAAAATAAAATAAAAAATTTACAATTAAGACAACGGTTTAGATATAAGGTTGGACGTATAAAGTGAATAAATACGACTTTAATTTTAACTTCACGACACATATCTTGGATCTCAGAAAAATCTATTCTGTCGGCGGTTTTCTATATAAACCGTCGTGATTATTCTCTATTCTTGTCATTAAGTTGTTCTACCGTCGTAGGATATCAAAATCCAAGAAATAAATAGTAAAACATAATGTCATTAAGATGACCGTTTAGGTATAAGGGTAGACGTATAAAGTAAATAAATACGATGGTAATTTTAACTTCACGACGTGGTAAATTTTATTACACGGCATTAATTGAACAAACCAACGTGGTTAGAGTTAATGATACTGCCGTACTATGGAACATGAAATAAGTCGATAAATTTATATTTTACGTCGTTGTACATGTATTTAAGACGGCGGTATTTTGTAATATACGGCCGTGGATTCTTTTGAAATTATGCGATGCCGGATGTGAAAACTTGGTCGTGGTTATTGTGGAGAAAAAAGGCGGCTGTTTCTTTAAACCGTCGTCTTTTCTTTCTACGTTGGTTGATTTATACCTTCTGCCGTTGTTTTTGGGCTCCGAGTTTACTTTGAGGAAAACCTTTTTCAATAAGACGTCGCTTTTTAAATTAGGTGTGTCGTGTTTTAAAAACAACCATTGGAATCATCATTTTTTAGGTGTTTAAGTTATTCTTACACGGCGGGTTTGTAAAACCGTCGTCTTTTCAAACACAACGACGGTTTTTTGTTAAACCGTCGTTTTTTTCTGGTCGTCTTTTTCACTTTTTGTAGTAGTGTGTACACATATATGTTTTTCATCTGTAAATATTTTCCAAATGTTTTCCCCTTTCTTCTGTAGGGTACAGATTCAATTGAAAGCCTTGTCCTAGACATGCACATGCGCCCTAGAAACAGTCACATAAACTCAACGGAGATAGTCTTGGAAACCAATGCATTTGCAAGGATGCATGAACTAAAACTACTCCATCTTAGTCATGTACAACTCAAAGGATCTTATGCAGAATTTTGTACAGGATTAAGATGGTTGTGTTGGAATAAGTTTCCTTTGGATTCTATACCCACAAATTTTCCTTTGGGGAGCCTGATGGTTCTTGAAATGCAATATAGCGACTTGAGGCAAGTCTTCAGAGGAACAAAAGTATGTTACTCTATGCTTTTCAATTGTCACTTTCATTTGGCTTTTAGTTTCGTAAATATATATATATATATATATATATAACAATTAACTCCCCACAATTCTGTTCAATTTTTCCCCCCACAGCGTCTTTCGTCATTGAAGATTCTTGATCTCAGCCATTCTCATTCTCTTACTGATACCACTGACTTCTCATTCTGCCCAAATCTAGAGAAACTTATTATTGCAGATTGTGTGAGCCTGATTTATGTCCATGGATCCATTGGAAACCTTGAGAGACTTGTTTACTTGAGTACGAAGGATTGCAAAAATCTTAAGATGCTTCCAGAGAGCATATGCATGCTAAAATTACTTGAAACGCTTATTATATCTGGTTGCACAAGTCTTAATGAATTCCCAATTGAGATGTTGAGGAAAATGGAATCTCTGAAAGTGCTTGTTACAGATGGAGTTCCAATAGGTGAACTAAGGCCAGGAAGAAGTTCATATATCTTGAGTTCTTTACCATGCTCTTTAGTAGATTTAAGTCTTCGAGGGTACAATCTTTCTAATGATGCCTTTCCTAGGGAATTTAGTAATCTATCCTCATTGCGAAGACTAAATCTAGGGAACAATCCAATTTGTAGCCTACCAAATTGCATCAAAGATTTAACGAGGCTTGATGAACTCTCTTTTTGTGAATAAGAATCTCAAATCGCTTCTTGGGTTACCAAAACTGTGCACGTTGAAGGTAGCAGGTTGCGAATCATTGGAAACAACAACATATCAATGTTCTCACTTCCGAAAAACACCTTTCCGTAGTGGGTGAAAATCGGAGCCTATTTGAGTGGGAGTATGATTACAAGCTAGTACCCATTGGAAGTGTTGATGCAGAAATGATCAACCTTTTGGGCTTGTCCAACTTGGAAACCATGGCACCATTCTGATGCACAGACAAACTTGGATCTCAAGAGCGGATGATTGGAATCCTGTTCAGGTGTCCGTCTCCCTCTCTCTCTCTTTCTCTCTCTCTCTCTCATGATCAAAGGAAAGAATTGACTTATAATATCGTCATTTGCATTTTATTTGTATTATTGTCATTTACATTGCATATGTATATATTAGGGACTGTATGAAAGAGGTATATTCAGCACATTTTTTGCTGGGAATGAGGTTCCAGGCCAGTTCAGCCATAAAAGTACAAAGTCCCCGATCTCTTTTACCGTGCCATTACTTGATAATCACAGAATTCAAGGCTTGAAGGTCTTCGTTGTCTATACAAAATTGTATACTAATGATTCTGCTGACCCTTTACCTGGGCCAATAATGACTAGAGTCAGAAATAAGAGCAAGGGTCTGAAGTGGATCTATTGCCCAATATTCTATGGTATTCCTGGTGAAGGAGAAGACATGATATGGTTAAGCCTCTGGAAGTTGGAGGAGCAGGTTCACTTAGAAGGTGGCGATGAAGTGGTTGTTTCCGTAATAATGCAACCTTGGCTTCAGGTTAAGGAGTTTGGAATCCAGCTTCAAGAGAATCATAATATGATGACTTATTATCCATGTGTCAAGAGTGTAGATTTGTATCAATATCAGCCAGGAGTATACTTGCTTTCCACAAGAACTGTACCAATACAAGATCCGATTTGGTTTAATAAGATCCTTGGGGACTCTGATGATGAAGATACGACAGGTGTGTTGTTTATTAACTCATTTGATTTTACTCCGACTATTAAGTTTCATCTAATTTGTTGGGATTTTCTGTTATTTTGCATTTTCATTGTCAGACAAAGAAGAAGAGAAACATTATGATCACACAATTGCAGCCACGAACAGCAACAACACTGGCAGCCTCCGTGGCTGGAAGGTGATCATCACCGCTATTGTGAAATTATTACAAGCGCACAATCTGTACAAGTAATATAGAAATAAGTAGAGTGTCATTCTCACAAAGACTGTAATTTCCTATTAACTACCAATTATGATTAATTCAGAAGTTTATTTGAATAGTTGATTAAGAAGATTGATTGATTTAAGAAAACTAAAACAATTATGAAAAATAACAATTTAATTAACGGTAGAAAATTAAGATGATGAGACACTAGAGCATCCGATTTCACCATAATCAATTTTACTTAATTAACAACCCATTCTCTCTTGATCAACGGATTTCAAAAGTATTCTCAATTAACAACCCATTCTCTCTCGATCAACGGATTTAGAAAGCCAAGAACCCATTAAGTTCTAAGAAAAGAGAGGGAAAAATAATAAAAAAATAAGTAAATAAAAATGAAGTAGAAGAGCCCAGATTCCAAATGAATGAAAACGTGACTGAATTGGTCCTAGTTACTCTTCGGAACGGAGTGGAATAAGGGAAGAGATTCTCGAACGAGGAAAAGGATCCAATGACTTCAAAAGAATTGAACGAGGAGCCGTATAAGGTGAAAATCTTATGTACGGTTCTGTAGAGTGGCAGTAAGGGTAACTTATCTGTCAACTTTTCCACTATCACCCCCAAAAAACCAAACTCTGCCTTACTTAAAGTTGCCAGAGTACGCTTAACCTCTGGATTTGAAATCACTGCTTATATACCTGGTATTGGCCATAATTTACAAGAACATTCTGTAGTCTTAGTAAGAGGGGGAAGGGTTAAGGATTTACCCGGTGTGAGATATCACATTGTTCGAGGAACCCTAGATGCTGTCGGAGTAAAGGATCGTCAACAAGGGCGTTCTAGTGCGTTGTAGATTCTTATCCAAGACTTGTATCATTTGATGATGCCATGTGAATCGCTAGAAACATGTAAAGTGTATGGCTAACCCAATAACGAAAGTTTCGTAAGGGAACCGGAGCAGGCTACCATGAGACAAAAGATCTTCTTTCTAAAGAGATTATATTCGGAACTATTATATGTCCAAGGTCCAATATTGAAATAATTTCAGAGGTTTTCCTTGACTTTGTCCGTGTCAACAAACAATTCGAAATGCCTTGACTTTTTTAGAACAGGTCCGAGTCAAATAGCAATGATTCGAAGCACTTCTTTTTACAGTATTTCGGAAAAATTAAATATTAGCTAGATATTTAAATCATTAAGAATAATAACAAATACTCAACATGGGATAATAATCAGAAATTAATATAACTATAAAAATTAAGTATTCATGGTTAGGCTACATCATAGCCCTAGCAAGGGAAATTAGTTCATGATAGAGGAAAATATAAACAAGAGAATTATTGTCATAAAACCAATTTGACCGATGGACTTGATCTTCAGAATAATTCTTGGCTCTCTCTAATATTTCTCTGGTTATATGAAAGTTGGTGGAAAAATATGGTAGAGAAGATGATGGTGGAAAAAAGATTATTTGACCATTAGGCTAAAGCTTTGTATTGTATTTATAGGCCAAGGGACCCCTTAAAAAATAAGGAATATAATATTTATTTAGGAAGGAAAGGAAAAATAGGAATATTAGAAAAACCAAGACCTATTCTCAAAAGGACATAACATGCGGCTTCAAGTCAGAGAGGGAATTGGCTTCGGGGTTTTAAAGGAAAAATAGGAAAGTATGCTCAAGGGTCCAGCCGATACCCACTCTTTGCTCCAAAAGTAGCTGACGATGGTAGCTCAATCAAAAAAGGTAACCAACAATTGTTTCACAATTGCAAAGCCAATCAGCTTTTAATGATGACAATAGTGCAATTCTCATGCATATTGCTTTCTTTCCTTTCAGACCATCTCATTATTTTGACATCTAGCATCTCAGCAATTGCTCAGATGATGCAACCCACCATTTCAGCAATTTACGTTGGGTTCTTCTTCATGAGAAAGGCAGTGATGTGATGGTAAGCTTCTCTAACTCAATCTTTCTGGCGCTGGTCACTGAGACCGGTTGTGGATATACATTGACACTTGCACAGATGCACTCCAGGTGTTTGATGAAATGACAGAGTGAGTTTTGAGATTTTGTTGAGATGATAATTCCACCCATTTCGATCCCTTAAGCTTCCAAAATTATAATTTTTGCTCCAAAGCCTTGCTAAGTATGATTTCCTACAAAATCTTCACCAAACACATTAAACTAACCAATTTCACATGAAAACAATGCAAATAAAGATAGGTTATATATGCACAACATGAATCTATCAACCGCCACTTGCTTCTTTCTCACGCTCTCTCTTATCACCCGGTCTTCTCTCTCACACAAAAAGAAGCGACAGTCAACAGGCCGTGGATAAACTTTTTGTACCTGAACTGCATACAGTTGTTCTTGCATATATCCAATGTTTTCCTTCCTAAGACCTAATTCGTTTTGTAGCATCAAATGCATCGATCTTCAAATATGTATCATGCAATGCAATGTTCTCTTTTGATTCTTTGAGCTGCTCATTGTACAAAATTAATTTATGACAGGTGATGAAAAGCGCCAAAATCTCAAGCTCATTAAAAATCTCAGTACCGCATGTTTAATTCTATATCAAGAACAGTCAATGCATATCAAGAACATTCTCTTGGTATGCAAATTTTTCAGAGAACAATAAATGGAACAACTATGCCAGAGCGTTCCATTTTGAAAGTTATAGCGACTTGAATAATAGAGTTGAGGATCGATTAAGTTCCTCACAAATCTCCTGTACACTCCCATTCTTCTTGCACTAACAGACATGCTCAGCACACCCATGGATCTTCTACGATCACTCAAAACATAGCCCAATTTGATTTGGTTTCTATGCCTATCTTATGCTTTTGACCACTGTAACAAAACTATCAGCTACTGGGGCCATGAATTTAATATGGTCTTGGTACCAAAAGCCCAAAAAAGAAGACCAAAGCCCCAAACAAGGGAACCCATAACGTAAAACTCAAGGAAAACAGAGTAACAAAGGAACACTGTTTCTGTGTGCTACATTAGCCTAATCGCTTTTCAAGTCAAGTAAATGGAGTTATGGGTAGGCTGTCTTTTTCATTCATTTAATTCTGCAATTCATCATAACATGCTTGGCTTTCAATTGAAGCTTTTAATTAATTTTCCACAGCTCATCACAGACACCAGCAAACGCTGGTTTGTTCTTGACCACTTCAAGTCGTCGATATCCATGGCTCTTGTGAAAGCAGCTGATCCACAGACCTCCTCTTCTAATGCTTCTCGATATTGTCGTTATCACGTGTTCCTGAGTTTCAGAGGCCCAGACACTCGCAAGACGTTCACTGACCACCTCTACACGGCCCTTGTGAACGAAGGATTTCGCACTTTCCGAGACGACGATGAAGTCGAGAGAGGAGAAGGTATCAAGCCCGAACTGCAGAAAGCAATCAAACACTCACGAACTTCTGTCATTGTGTTCTCGAAAGACTACGCGTCGTCCCGATGGTGCCTTGACGAGTTGGTGATGATCCTTGAACGCAAGAGGAGGACCTCAGATGACCATGTCGTTTTGCCTGTCTTCTACGATGTGGATCCATCCCATGTGAGGAAGCAGACAGGAAGTCTTGCAAAGGCATTTGCTAGACACCAAAAAACTCAACAGCTGCAGAAGGTGAAGGCATGGAGGGAGGCACTTGCAGAGGTTGCAGATCTGGCAGGGATGGTCTTGCAAAATCAAGCT